AATGAAACCTCGCCTAGCAGTTATTCACAGTGAAAATGCTCTCTTCTGCCGATGAATTTCTATACTAACTAAACCAATCTCCATACTGCTAAAAAAAATGATGGAAGCTTTCAGTGTAACCTAACAAAAAGAGACTGGCAAAAATCATGCTGGTTTTTAATCGAGCTCAATTCAACTGAAATCTAACTGAAGTGAGCATTGTTTTGGTTCAAATGGCAAAATTCAGCTTTCTCTCAACATTATCCAGCCATTAGGCTCATCTTGAGCATTCCCGCTCATCATTTTTTACCTCAATATCATGCCTGTTCAGAGAAGCGTCTCTCATATATAGATCTTCAAAGCAAGGTGCTCAGTTAAATAATCCAAAACCAGGTCAACGTAAATAAGGACAAACAGATATTTGATCCAAACATTCAGTTAAATTTGGGAGCAAGTGATCAGGCATCATGTTATGCTTGATGCCATAAAGCAATCTCATTTGGAAAAGCTACTACTGAGTCCATATACGGGATGTGGATATTTAACTGTACACCAATAATCATCACATGAGCAGACCCCATTTTCAAAGTGATGATAATGGTTAGTATCCCTTAATACAATTTTACGCTCAGTAATCTTGGACATAAACTTCATAGCAATGTGGCAATCTTCACAGACACGTAGATTTTTAGTAACTCTGATTGGTTGCCTTGGTTCAGTATTAATAATAGCAAATACAGTGGCCAACTTCTCAGTGTGCACTGCTAGATGGTTTTCTTTATCTTCCTCCTCCACATCATTCAATGCAGTGTCGGTTTTTTGGACGTAACCTGCTTCTTTCATTTTTCCTACCAAGACATCTAACTCTTCGTAGATCTCTATTGATTGTGGATGCCATTGGTCTCCAGCAAGGAAGGTGTGGACCCGATTATGGAGCTCAACATTACTAACACCAGGTACTTTACTGATTCCTCTCCCTTTCCTGATGGACCGAATTCCATCTCCCGGCCTTTGCATATATGTTCAATAACAGGACATAATAACCAGACTGCTGTGGAACCGATTGGAAAAGATGATCTGCAGCTACAAGCCCAATATCCATGTTATTATAAACATGGCCCCAAACCCGATCGTTAGGCTCCATTGCATCTGACTGATAAAATTTTGGGCCTCTTCTACACGACCAGCACGTACAAATAGATTGACCATGCAAGCACAGTGTTCTCACTTCGGAACTATTTTATACTCCTCGCTCATCAATCTGTAATAATGTCGGCCTTCAGATGATAACCCTGTGTGGCTGCAAGCTGAAAGAATTGAAACAGAGGCTATTGAATCGGGAATAAGACCTGAATCCTGAATTTTGGTAATTACCTTCCCCACTCCTACCATAGGCAGACATCATTAAAGTCCACGAGACAATATCCCTTAACTGCATCCCATGAAACACTTTCCTGGCTTCTGATAAACATCCACACTTGGCATACATATCGATTAAGGCATTCTCTAAGGAGAGGTTAGGCCGGAGCCCATTGTTTCAACAAATTCATGAATCTGCCTTCCCATTGATACAGCTGAAAGATCCTCACAAGCTGGAAGAACGCTAGCAGTAGTAATTGGATCCTTTTCCAACTGTTGAGCTTCTATTTGTGAATAAAGTTCAACTGCCTCTCTTGGCATAGAATTGTTGCTATACAGTGCTATCATTACATTCCATGCAACCAATTCCTCTCAAGCCATTCTCACGAAACAACACTTACTTTACAAGTATTAGTTACAGCTGGAGAGCGGTAGCCATTGTTCCTGAATCAGTTTCACGCCTAACGACCCCATTTCTTTACAAACCCCTAACGCATCATCAAACCTTCCATTCTGCGCATACGCTGCCGCCATAGAATTCCAAGAAACAATGTCCCTATAAGGAGTTCAGTCAAGAACCCGTCTTGCCTTCCAAAAACCACATTTCCCGTACAGGGTTAATCCAGATCCATTTTCACAGCTGGGCAATGAATTTGCACCCCGACCCTTAAATTATTCGATGCAGTGCAGAACAAGCTTTCAAAACACAAGGTAATGTATAATGATCTGGGGCCACACCACGCTATAGCATACTCTTACACATAAAAATTGCATCTTTGTAAAAACTGATTATTCACATAACTTCTTATCATTACGTTAAAAATAACATTATTTCTCTCAGGAATTTTGTCGAATACATTACGAGTGATATTGGGTTCGCCACACGCAATATAAGCTTTCATCGGTTTGATGGCAAGGGACGCATTCAAGTATAAAACCGCTTCGGAGATAATCTTGAAATGGACTAGTTTGAGGGTCTTAATATCAGGGCATTTTTCTAATACAAGGTCAAAGAAATCCTCGGTTCTATATTGGGTGGATTGCATTTTCTGAATGGCAGTTGAGAAATGGAGGGGAAAACGACTTGGTTTTTGCATGGGTTTCATCGGTTGTCCAGCTGACGTAGCGGAAATTATAGAGAAGATGAACAAATCTCACAAAAAAAGAAAACTCGTGAAAAGTCTTATTTCATTCTAATCAATCTGCGGTCTCAAGAGGCTTACAACTTATTTATAGCAAAAACCTAAAAATTTCGGAAATTAAATAATAATTAAAAAAATCCAAAAATGGAAAAATGGAAAAAAACCAAGATAATAATGGAAATTAATAGTCCTGATCCTCAGGATTACTCTCCAACAAACGGAATGTATATCCGAATTTATTTAATTGAGATATACTCAAAATAAGAATTACCAAAAAATAAAAAATGCCTAAACGAGGGCCTAAACGATGGATTTTGCTCAAAAATTGACGCACCAAAGGCTCTGAGTTTTATTCATTGGCTCGATTCCAATCAAATTAGACTAGCAATTCGCTTAAAACAAACAAATCCAAAGTTATCATGAAATCAAAATATCTAAACCCGAAGTTATGACTTGCGACAGTCTCATTTCATCATAAACTCTAATTCCTTATGCACTACATCATTCTCCCTAAGGTGGGAAAAATTCGCAATCGAATTTGACGGAAAAGGAGCTTCATCATCATCAAAATTATCACCACGAAATGGCACCAAATGCTTGATATTGAACACGTCGGATGTACGAATATGGCTGGGCAGCTTCAAACGGTAAGCATTCGGATTGATCTTCTCCATGACCTCCAATGGACCAATCTTCTTCGCAGTAAGCTTGTTGTATTCATGAGCAGGAACACAATCCTTTGTTAACACCGCCCAAACAAAGTCACCTTCCTCAAACTCAACATGTCGGCGTTTAAGATCTGCAGTACGCTTATACTCGATGACAGCAACCTGCAACTGATCATGAGCATGTGAGTGAACCTGCTGCAATTGCTGAATAAAGCCCTCGGGCTTACCATGCATCTTAACAGAGGTAGAAACTGGAACCAGATCAAGAGGACCACGAGGAACAAGGCCATACACCACCTGGAACGAACTAAAACCTGTACTTCTTGTTAACAGCATGATTGTGAGCAAATTCTGCTTGACACAACTTCTGATCCCAAGACTTGATGGGGTCACCAACCAAGCAACGTATTAAATCACCCAAGGAATGGTTAACAACCTCTATCTGACCATCTGTCTGAGGGTGATATGCACTGCTAAAGTCCAACAGTGTATTCACCGAGCGTCATAAGCTGCGCCAGAAGTGACTGAGGAAATGAGTATCCCGATCAGACACAATAGATGTAGGCAGTCCATGCAGGCGATAAACCTCACGAAAATTAAGTAAGGCCACACTGACAGCATCTGTTGTCTTCTTGCAGGGGATGAAATGTACCATCTTTGAAAACCGATCAACCACCATGAAGATCGAATCAAACCCACGTTGAGTCCTGGGGAGTCCCACATCGAAATCCATGCTCACGTCTGTCCAATGTTGGGTTGGAATAGGCAGGGACATATACAGGCCCGCATTTATCGTCTTGCCCTTGGCCAAGTGACAAACCCGATAACCCTCCACAAACTTCCCAACATCTTTGCGCAACGATGGCCAAAAGTAAGAAGCAGCAACAAGCTGTAATGTCCAATCACGACCCACGTGGCCTTCATTATGCAACTCTTGAATTATCTTAAATCGCAAACTGCCATCAGGAATACATAACTGATTTCCTAGAAAAAGAAACCCGTCGATCCACACAAAGTTCGACTGCACACCCTCCTGCAACTTTCGAATGATCTGTGAAAAGTATGGATCAGTAGCATATAAATCGCAAATAGAGTCAAAACCTGGGACCTCCACGCGCAATTCTGTCAAAAGAGTTTGTCGCCAACTCAATGCATCTGCCACCTTGTTAAAGGCACCTGCTTTGTGCTTAATTACAAAAGTAAACTGCTACAAATAGGCAACCTAAGAAGCATGTGAGGCAGACACCTTATCTTGAGTACCAAGGTGTTGAAGGGCATCATGGACGTATATAGAATGAACTCCTTCTGGAACAAATAATGACGCCAATGTCGAACTGCCTGAACTATCGCATAACCAGACATCATAAGTACTATATCGAGACTTAGGGCCAGAGAGTTTCTCACTGAAATACGCAACAGGACGATTGTTCTGGCTCAGCACACCACCAATTCCCACCTTCGAAGTATCACAATGTAGCTCAAATGGCTGAGTAAAATCAGGCAACACCAAAATTGGGGCAGTTGTCAATTTCTGCTTAATCAACTGAAGGGATACCTCTGTCTCGGGAGTCCACTGAAACTTACCATTTTTCATGCAATCTGTAATCGACGCCATGATACTACTGAAGTGTGGTATGAACCTGTGGTAAAAGGAAGCAAGGTAATGAAAACTTCGCACTTCTGTAATGGTCTTAGGCTGTGGCCACTGACTGATTGCCTCTACTTTGGATGTATCAATTGTCAACCCCTCCTTCGACACCACATAACCCAGGAATACAACACGATCTGTTAGAAAAATACACTTCTTCACTGTAGCGTAAAACTCATCCCTGCGAAGGACTGAAAGAACTTCTCAAAGGTGCTGGACGTGATCATCATTGTTAGCACTATAAATCAGAATATCATCAAAGTAAACTACCACGAATTTTTCGATAAATGGACGAAGAGCTTGATTCATAACCCGCATAAAAGTACTAGGTGCATTGGAAAGACCGAATGGCATGACTAACCACTCGTACAACCCTTCTCTTATCTTAAATGTCGTCTTCCACTCATCCCCAGGTCTGATACAAATCTGATGGTATCCACTCTTCAAATCAAGCTTACTGAACACATAAGCATCGGTAAGCTGATCAAGCAAATCATCCAAGGGAGGAATACGAAAACGGTAACGGACCGTAATCTTATTAATCACCCTACTGTCCACGCACATACGCCACGTGCCATCCTTTTTGGGCGTAAGGAGAGCAAGAACAGCACAAGGACTAAGACTTTCTCTGATGTGGCCCTTCGCCAAAAGCTCCTCCACTCGTCTGCGCAACTCCTCATGTTCAGTAGGACTCATCCTGTAATGCGCCCGGTTGGGTAGAGTAGCATCAGGTACTAAATTAATCTGATGCTGAATATCTCGTAGTGGTGGCAATCCCTCTGGAAGCTCCTCTGGGAAAACCTCCTGAAACTCTTCTAACAGTGGACGAATTCTGTGGGAAACCTCCTGTTCAATATCGACTGACCTGCCTACTAACACATACACTACACCAGATTCTGCCATCTCCGTCTCAAATTTTGCTCTGGTTAACAAGTTGGTACTGTCCCCAACTGCTTTTATTGGGCTCTTATCAAGTAGTAACACAATTTTCTTTTCCCCAAACAGAAAATTGTACGTATGGTGTACCCGTCATGCAGCGAGTGTTGGTCAAACTGCCAAGGCCTCCCTAATAACAAATGGCATGCATCCATCTCTACCACATCACACAAAACTTGATCTTTGTAGGTAGGCCCAATGGAAAAGCTGACTAGAGCACGCTGGGATACTTCAACATCACTACTCCTCTTCAACCAAGCCAACTTATACGGTTTGAGATGTTTCTCAGTCTGCAGACCCAGTTTCTTAATGACCTCCTCAGCAACCACATTCTCGCGACTCCCAGAGTCAATAACAAACTTACAGATTCGTCCCCCAACAGTACACGTGGACTGGAAGATGTTATTACGCAACTAGTCGCTCTTGTTGTCCAGGGGAGTTAAAAAACTTCACCTCACCACCAATGCTTGCCTCACGTCACCAACAACTAACTCCTCCTCTTCTGCTACCTCATCATCATCTCCATTATAAAATACGGGCACCCCTTCATAATCTCCATACCCATCATCAACAAAGAGCCCTCTACGCGAATTTTTTGGGCATTCATATTGCCTATGACCCACACCTTTGCAAGCGAAGCAACGGATACCGCCCTCAGGACGTGCTGACAGCTGCACAGAATTTGCTTTAAAAGAACCAGCCTGGCTAGGATTACCAGGATGTGTCACTGGAAGAACCTCCTGCGATGAAAGTCCCTGTATTCCGTCTGGACTGCTGTTTCTCATCTGTATCGCCCTTTGATGTGCCTCAGAAACTGTCACAGGATCAAACATGTTCAGCGTGTCCTGTATTTGGGGGCGAAGACCACCTACATATCGAGACGCCAATTGTTCCTCCGTTTCCATCACTTCATTCCTTGTAATCAACATGCAAAATTCCATCGTATAGTCATCAACCGCCTTCATGCCTTGACGCAAATTCTGCAATCTCTGATACATGGTCTGAGCATAGTTGTAGGGCAGAAATTACTTCTTCATGCGCTTTTTTAGTTTATCCCAAGATGCAATCTTAACCTTCCCTAATCAGGATCTTGTCACTTTTGTCTGCTGCTACAACGCCGCTGCTCGTCCACGAAATCTCGTCGCAACAAAAGGCACACGTTTTCCAACAAGAACCTCTTTAAATTCTAGAACCTCCTCCACTGCAATCACCCAACCCAGGAATTCGTCTAGACTTAATCCACCATGGAACTCAGGAATATCAACCTTGAATCTTGATTCCCAGCGCCTGTTCTCCTCCGGGCCATCTCCTCTCCGTCGGACTAGTAGATCTATTGGATGATCAAGAGGCGCAAACGGATTTTCATCCTCGAAATCCTCAAGTGGTTGGGCCACAGGCACATGTTGTCGTGGCGCGAGTGCAGCGATTTGCTGGGTCAACAACTCCACTTGTTAACACAGCTGTGCGATTTCATCACGTCTATTCACCTCCTCTACTGGGACTTCACAAGGTGCTGGATGTCTCCTTGGCGACATGGTGAAGGAACGAACCTCGCTCTGATACCAACTGACGTAGCAGAAGTTATAGGTAAGATGAACAAATCTCACAAAAAAGAAAACTCACGAAAAGTCTGCGGCCTCAAGAGGCTTACACCGTATTTATAACAAAAACCTAGAAAATTCAAAAATTAAATACTAATTTTTAAAAAAAAAGATTTTTTTCCAAAAATGGAAAAAACCAAGATAATGACGGAAATTGATAGTTCTAATCTTCAGGATTACTCTCCAACAAACGAAATGTAAATTCGAATTTATTTAATTGAGATATACTCAAAATAAGAATTACCAAAAAAGAAAAAATGCCTAAACGAGGGACTAAACGATGGATTTTGTTCAAAATTGGCCTTGCATCAAAGCCAAAGGCTCTGTGTTTTATTCATTGGCTCGATTCTAATCGAATTAAACTAACAATTCGACAAAAAGAACAAACCCAAAGTTATCATGAAATCAAAATCTCTAAACCCGAAGTTATACTTTGCGACGATCTCATTTCATCATAAGCTCTAATTCCTTATGCACTACATCATCAACACATGATAATAAAACCTAGAGGAATGCTATTCTAACACGTTATATGTTCAATTAAATTGAATGATATGACTTTACATTTAAATGAATTATCATTTAATGTTATGTAATGACCACCTAAACAGGTACTCAAACTTAGTGAAAATGAATAGCACTACTCTCTAAACTATGAAATTAAAACCAAATTATTTATGACCATATTGAAATTAGACAATTATCGGACAATGTGGAGAAAAAGATCCAATTATTAAAAATAGACAATTTTTCACATGTTTAAATTTGACAATTTCAAAGACAGTTGTTTTTATCATGATAGTGTTAATTGACTGCATTGCTTTACCTTCTCTCAAAATCACGCAATTACATATATCAATCACATAAATGTAGTCTTATCATACAACCAATTGGCCATCTCATATTAAAAAGACGACGAGCACAAAAAGTGAGGTGCGTGTGACAATTCATCCTCATTTCATGTACAATCATATAAAATCACCTATTTTTCAAGTTTTTCATTTTGCACTTTGGACAAGAACAATATTCATGTCACCAATTTTCTATCAATCAAGAGCGAAATATTAAATTTAAACCAAAAGAAGGTAGTGAACTTCACTGAAGCTTTACTGTCATTTATTTATTTTGTTTTATTTTTTGCTGCTTGCCTAGTTTAATTTGACTCTCTGTCATTCTAAACCAGCCTACTATCTTCTGTGGACTGGTACATAAACTTCACCATTCAATCAAGAATGTCTCTTTGTAAACATGGTAAGGCGGTCCCATTTAACGAAAAGTTTCTTGGAAATGTTTCATATGCCAAAAGGTTCAAATAAGCAATTTTCTGATGCCGTAGTCAAAAGATAGGGAGCTTCTTGCTATAAGCTTACAAGTTTTTCTAGGAAAAACTGAAGTTTCTCAGCGCATGAAATGAATAGACACACAGTACAGAGGCTACCTGCTTCGACACTTCTATGTTATAATAAGTTAGAAATAAGTACAGCATATGCAATTTTACAGTCATCAAGAGGCAGCTACAAACAGGATTTTACAGTTGTAAGTATGTGGAGTTAAATGCTTGATGACCGTCTCCTTTCTGATTCTGCTTTCTATTAATGCGATACAAGAATTAATGTTATTAGTTATTACAGCAATATCCATTGAAATGCATGTGTGCGCTATCTTCTGAACTTTTTATCAGTCATCTTGGAACAAAGCTTTAGAAACTGAATGAGAAGAGCTCCCATGACCTTTGAGATCTTTCTCCCCCTTGTTTCCAGTCATTGGGGTCTCGTGTACAATGCTATAAATAGTTTTTTGTCTATCCTTTCTTTTTGATTTCTTTGGAATAGACTCTGGTTTTGTTTTTGCCGCCTTTGCTTGCTTTGGGGCCCATACTCTTTGCAAATCTGGCATCCAGCTACTGAAAGACACAAATCTTCGAGCCCTCTCTCTCCTTTCACGAGCTTCATTAAACAAGTGGTCACGTTCCTCTTTTATACTCAATTGAGTACTCTCATTAACATTTTTGGGAGGCTGCAAAAACTCAGATTGGTGATTGCTGTTGGTTTCAGCTTTCTCATACCTTTCATGTTTTTCTCTCCAGGGTTGATTACTGTCCTCACTATTGAATAAAAGAGACGGAACTTCATACTCATCACCAAATGGCAGCAGATCCATTTTTGTGTAGATTTTGTGCACCACATCTTCTAATATGTTAATATACCTGAAAATAAGGTCATTTGGCAACTTATCTATTGCTTGATTTGTGAAGAACAATGATAGAGGACACATAGAAACTAGATTGCTTTCTCTCCTCCCAAATATTAAAAGCTTGGACATATTTTCTAGGATGTGGAAAGGAAAATGAAAATCTGAACAGAAAGCTTCTTGACTTGAAAAAAATAAACTATGTCAAGTAAATTATTATAATCCCACAACATCAAAAAAATATGTTCTTATAACACAAAAGAGGCTTTCTTTTGATTTTCTTTCCTTTAGGTCATGTACAAGATAACATTAGGATGACAGGGCTTGGTGTAATTCAGGTAATGACATTTTAATGCCTTTTAAGCCAATACTTCTAAAAACGCTTTTTGTAATAGATAAAAAAAACTATTATTAAAAATGAACAGATTCTTATTATTTTAAATAGTTGACAACCAAGTTGTCTATATTACTGTGAAAATTTTGAGATTGCCGTTATAAGGTAAACAGAATAAAAATTGCAATTTGCCAAAAACTTCTGTATATTAGCTTTACTATGTCAAGGTTGCAAACCCATTTAACTTGTGCTAATGCAGTAATGATTAACCATCAAATTGAATTGTAGGCCTTTTTCACCAGGTCATCTAATATCCCCTTAAGCCTTCTGTGTAAAACGATTTTCTTCTAATTTATCAGTGCAATGGTTACTCCAGATTTTTTCTCTTGCGTACTTCTTTTACATAATCGAACAAATAATATTTTCACCTAATCTTCTTCTTTGTGGGCTATTGTGAAATTAATAATTACGTCTTAAACTATGGGTACTCAAAATCATGCCCATGGGTACTGTATGCCAAGGTTGCTTGGTTATATTATGTGAATATATTGGTGTCTTAGTCAAAAAGATTCTAAACTAAAATATATAAATGATATTTGACTATCAATCTAAAAAGTATTAACAGTACAAAATAATCAATTACAGAGTAGGTTTGATAAAAAGAAAAACATTAGATTAATGAAATCAAAAGCCAATTATAATGTCGTAAAAAAAAAAAAAGGTCAATTATACCATATGTGAAGCTCTTACCTTGCTTTGATGGTCCTTTCTACATAATCATATAGGCTAACGTGACCATGAATGCCTCCTTCGATGAGGTACTGGATAATTTCTAAAAGGGAGCAGATCTGCTTCACCAGCTTTTGTTTACTAGCTTGCTCCATAGTCACAGAAACATCTGATTGCAGAATTTCCATCCGAAGTAAAATCTGAAATTCATATCTTGTCTAAATCAAGGAAAATGTTTGTAATAAAGTTATATTAGGCAACTATACAGAGTTATCCAATTCACGTAAGGATCAAAGACGATATAATATAATGAAAAAAAAGGATACTCTCTGACTATAGCTGATGTTGGATGTTGAATGGATGCTTGGGACAATGAATCATGATCCTGGTGTATCTTTTTCATTTCCTTGGGTTCCTTTAGTACAAGTTTCATTAGCCTGGCACTAACCGTTTCATCACAAGAATCAGTTGAATCTTTCTGAAGGGATTGATCTTCTGTGTCATTGTTAATCTTACACTTTCTAGCTAGGAAATGAATACAAGACTTGACAACTCGCTCTGCTAGATTTTGCAAGTCCATACCAGATTCCAGACTATGTTGAATTCTCTTTGGAAGATTATTGAAGAAGGTTTCTGAAATCTCTGAGTTCGAAAGAGGAATAGCTCTCTCTTCCACTCCAGATAATTCAGAAGACAGGCCATGACACATGGAAAGTTCCTCCATGGACTTGGATCCATTCAACGTCGTAACGCTATTTGGATTAACTTTGCAGATTTGCTTCATCCAGCATTTCAAGAACTTTAGCTTCTTTGACTTTTCAAACTGTCCTGAAATGTAAACTTCCAATAAATCAAATTGAGAACCCTCATGGACAGCCTGGCAAAAGGAACTCCACGTTGTACCCTGATGCAAATGCTTTTTGCTCTTCTTTCTTTTTCTGTCTCCTGATGGTTCACAATTTCCAGAAGTTGAAGTATCAGTTTGTGAGCCAATGCACCCATTTGAGTCATTCATATCTGCAGTGCAAGTATCACGCACCTCATCACCAACCTTGCCAAAATCGGTTCGACTTAAATAATCAATTTTAGTATGACTGTCATCTATGATAGAGAGGATAGCCAAATGAGCCGTAAAAGGCTTGAGAATACCCACAGATGAATCTCCATTATTATTTGAAAGGGAGACAATAGCCCAATAACCTTCCCTATGGAGAAAACTCAGAATCATTTGCCAGATGGGCATCTGATTTTTACAAGTGTTTCCACCAATTTCTTCATGTAGTATTTCAAGAACCCTATCAGCAAAAGTATCATCATTGCTCTTATTTTTGCCTTTTTGTCTTTCTTGGGTCCACTCACGTACTATAATATAATCAGATAAGCACCCTCCAATCTCCACACTGTCGTTATACCTTTGCACTGCCTTAACCTGTATTTTTATACTTTCATCTCCAAATTGGCCCCAAACTGCATCTCGATTAAATTCATCGCCCTGCTCCAGAGCACTCAAAATATCGTCAGATCTAATGGTACCCAGAGACTTCAACTTCACCAATTCAAGATCTAGGCAATTGCATTGCAGAGGCTTACCATTTATATCCAATATCTCGAGACTCAATTGCCCACTTCTTTTTCCCTTCCACATACCACCAAATTCCACAAAATCAAATGAAAGTCCAATTTTCGGATATATCAACCCGAAAGGCAATAAAGCCGAACCAAAAACAATCAAATCACTTGAGCAAAACCCCCAACCCATTTTTCTAATCTCCTCCTCAAACATTGCTAATTCGACCCCACGTTCATTTGTATCCACTTCCTTCTTATCAGTTGCATCTAATTGTCGCTCATCAATCTTAACATTAATCCAACTAAAATGAATATCCCTAGTGATAAAAGACTCCCTCACACCACAAAAGATCTCTTCAAATTTCACTGAAAACCCATCCAAATCGCGCAGATCCATGAACTCATACAAATAATTAATGGATCTACACACAGGCGAAAACAACAGAACCAAATTGGAAGAAACTCTACAAAGGTTAAAATCACTAAAACAATCCTTACCTAACAAATTCGCATTCTCAGACTCCCAGGCATAGTCGTGGATAAGCTGAAGGAGTGAGCTGGCAATGAGCGAAGCACGTTTGCCTGGGGGGTTCGAGAGATGGGTTAGGATAGGGAAGGAACTGAGGGCGCTGGAGAGAGAAGCAAGGGTATGGGAGGGGAGATTGAAGGAGAGGGACGGGGTGTGGAGATGACTGGGGATGGTGGAGGCGGAACGGAGCGGGGAGAGGGAGGAGAAGAATAGCTTGTAGGCAAAAAGTGAGGTGGAAAGCGGCGGGAAATGGAGGAAGCTGGAAGCGGCGGAGAGGACTGTGGTGAGGTAGGGTTTAGGGTTATGAAGAGTGAGGAGTGGGTGTAGATCTATCAAAAGGACTACACGTTGGGTTTTTGTGAAGTCTAGCGGTTGATTCGCCGCCATTGGTGAGGAGAAATTGCTGCCGTCAGCGGCAATGGAGATGTGAATTACAATGTTCCAGCTTCTACTTATTATTTCCCCTGCGGCGGCGGTGGTGAGTGTGCCAATTCGAGCCGAGGTCTGATCTATGGCGGTGTGGATAACATGCGCCTGGAAAATGGATCTCAGTTTTTCGAGTGGCAAAGCAGGAATAAAAAATGAGATAACATGCGCCATAGGGCAGCGCAAGTACTTTGAGCGGGAAAATTAATAAAGGCGCGCAAACTTTGATATTTTGAAAATATTTTATCTAAATACTATAACTTAAGAATAATCTCACCATTAGTCCATGACTCATTCATTTTTCCAACTCTCACCAACTTATTTGGCTAAATTCGATAGGAATCCACAATCATTGTAAGTACAACATTTATGTTTGTATCATTTGTTGTTTTAAAATAATAATACCCATGTACGGAGCTAATAGAAGACAATTATTGAAATATTAAATGATAATATGATACTCATAGGTCACAACATATCTTATTAAAAGATAAACTTGTCTAAGAAAAATTTGTTTAATCCAAAGGACCAAAACAATATAATCAATGGCTAATATGATTCTGAACATGGGCGAATCTATAGCAGGGACCGTGATCCACTACTCTCGTAGTACTTGTACTAAATTTGAAGTCCAAGATTTTGCAATAGATTTTAAAAAATAAAAATAAAATCCTTAAAATTTTCAATTTTGCACCCACAATTAAAATTTTGTAAAATTTGCCTCCACAACTCTATTCTCCTGACTGTGACCCTGAATATACATGGAATGAATGCCCAGCAGTGCTATTAATTGTTTGATTGCATATTTTCCAGACGACAAACACCAAAGTCTTGACTATGGTACATCTATTCTACATTTCCTAAAAATTGACTCCCAAAATGGGTACTATTCAGTTGGCTGAACTCGATAATAGAAAACTGTTCTGTCAGTCTAACTTCTCCTACTGTCAATGGGAGTCATATAAGATACAAACTTATGTACACAACTGCTGGTCCTAATTTACAGATTAAACTACAGCCTCACAGGGTTGCTTCATTACAGGCCAAATATATGGTCATTTGCACCAAAAATGGCAGAACCAAATTGCCTTGTATTTAGATCTCCCCCATCCAGGGTCGAACCAAAACGGTCAAGCCACTGAACCGGGCTTTGATTCTCAGCCTCCTCTGCCCACTCCGATGTCATGTCAATGTCATCCAATTGAAGAGGATCTGTTTCTGAACACCTTGATTTCAAAGGTTTTGATAACCTGAGGTTATAATTAATGTAAAGTAGGTCATTTAGTGTTTCTTTATCGATCTTGTTTCGCTTCTCGGAGTGAATTTGCTGATACGTGCTCCACTGCCTCTCCAAGGTTGAAGTGCTGCAGACCTGGCTTAGTATTCGGATTGCAGCTTGTTGCAAAATGGGAGCCGCATCCCCATATTGTTCCCACCAAATGCCTGTAATGCTTATTCCGCACATTAGTCATTTGAACGTGTAAATTGGAAGATATAACTAAACCAGAATGTTCACTCACACCAACAATTTCTCATAATCATAAATCATGCAAGGAACGATTAATGGGCGGGAGAACTGGACATATGAGCAATCAAATAGAATTGCAATAAGTGCTTAATACATATTCCAAGCTGATTAATAGCTGTTAAAATGTAAATTTATTATGTAAATGAAATATAGAAGTTATGCGAGCTGAAACTTTTCGTTTGTGCCAACCCAACATAGCAGCACAAACCAGGTACATTGGCCAGAGCAGTCCTGAAAAGGAGGCTCAGTTACTGGCATAAGAAGATGAGAGAATATAGAAAGTTTGATGCAATTTCAAGCAAGGTCCCTAAGAGATTTTGCATTGCTTCATATTTAAATTTTTATCTCAAGCTTACATGCTGCATTTTAATGAAATGAACCATCCCATAGAAGAATTTATTCTTACAATTGTACTGGGCTATGAATCAACCAATGAAGCATCATAGAAGAATTTTATTCTTACAAGCTTTGTTTTGGGAGTATATGTCTTGTACTCCAAATATCAAAATGAGCTATCTAAAAGTTGTGCTAGTGATCTTTCTTGATAACTAAGCAATTGAAGAGTCATAAAATTCAGCACAAATTTAGCTTCTTGCCTAATTTTTAAATATTTGTAAAAGGGAAATCTACTGTGTAAAAATGCTTCGAATGCAGAACATTTCCAGAAGACTAATTCTCAATCACAAATGTTCTTTGCATTTTGAACTTCTATTTTGCTCTACTTCTGAGTTTTAGATGGGTTCATCTAATAGGCATCTTTGACAAGTTGACAAATTTTAGCCCATTCATGATATGACATTGCTGCAAGGCCACATCAAGACAGTAATAGCAACAATAGAAATATCTGAAAAGTTTGCCTTGCAGCATATTGCATAGAGCCAAATAACAAAGATAGAATGCAAACTTACCAGGTGAAACGGTTTCGATTGCCTCCTTTGCCAGATTACAACCAAACATTCCACTTGCCCTCGTGAACAAAAGAATTTGGTTAGTTATATCTCGTCTTAGTTCGGGTGTTGGAAGAAGTTTCTCCAGAACTCCGTAAAAATCTTCTTTAATGGAGCCAAGAAATTTTATCTCTGGATTATACTGGATACTAGGGTTCAGAAAAGCTGCTGCTGAATGAAGAGGTGAATGGAGGTTGTTCTGCCACTTCTTATCTACAATGTCTAATAATGTCTTGCATTTGATCTCGTCCATAATGTAGTATGTCCTTATAGACTCCTTCGCTCTGGTCATCAGTTCGTAAATAAACCCCATTGCAGGCTTCCCACCAGCCACTTCTCTCATTACCTTCAAGAATGGCTCAGAAACAGCAACACTCTCTTCTACTGCTCTCCAAAATTCATTATCATCAATAATCCCAACACAAGTTACAGTCTGAGGTTTCTTTGCACAAGCCAAATCTGCAGATAATTCTGGGTTATTGAACATATGTTTCAACCTTGGTTTCTGCTTAAGCATAGATTGCAAAGAGAGAAAATTGGAAACAGACTTTGTAATACCACTCCTAATGATCTCCTGTCCTCCCGTGAACTTTTTCATCAGATCCAGCATTGATGAATTATTGTATATGTACTTGGAAAAGGCTTGTGCTTGAAGAATACACCTGCTAATCCAATCTACTTTACTGAACTCCTCCAAGATCCCATTCACACATTGTGAGACACAAGGGGTCACAAAAATAGTTCCGTAATTCTGCACGATATGGTTCACTATGCCAGAGCAGTTTAGAGTAGTATCCACAATTACCTGCACAATGTTTCCAGACCCAAAATCTTGAATGACAGAGTCAAATAAATCCGAAAGGTATTTATTATTTTTATAATAAGAAGATGCATCAACTGATTTGTGGAAGAAGGTTCTTGAGGGTGATGAAACTAAGAAATTGATCAGAGCTCTTGATTTGTTGTCTGTCCATGTTTCTGCAATGATAGTGCAGCCGGTCATAGCCCACTCTTTCTCAATGTCTTTTGACTGTAAACTCATTTCAGATTTGATCCTCCCTAACCACGTAGTTTTCAAAGTTTCAGCAGATGGTCCTACAAAACCACCGCCACACTTTCGAACAGCATCAATCATTTGCTGATAAGATAAAGAACGGGCTACACTGAAGTCCAATTTATTTTCAAAAAAGAAAAGAGCAATACTTCTCTCTGCATTCTCTCGATCATTTCCTGAGGAAGAGCTCAATGATGTGATGGATGGAAAGATATTTCCCATTACAGGCACAGCTTCCACAGCCATGGTCGTCTTCGCTGGAGAGATACTTAATGTCACAGGAGATTTAACTTCTGCTACCTTTTGCTTTTTAACAATAGGAGTTTCCTTTCCCTCCTCCTTCGTTGCTAAAATTACCCTTACCCGATCAGTTACATCATCCCTCACTTTGGTGCATGGATTTACTCCTTTACTCGGAAGCCTAGACAAATGATGTTTTAATCTACTAATGCCACCATTCAGAATTCTCTCACAGAATTTGCATCTCACCTTGTTTCCTTCCAACCTGTCAGCATATTCCCAACAAATGTCTTTTTCTCGAACCACTGCCCGAAAGGAAAATATACCATCTTGTTAAAACTTTACTTCTATCTATGTATATACACATACTCTTCAACAAAAATTAACTTATTCATGAACTTCTAATCATGAGGAAATCAAGCGAAATATATAGTCATCATGATTTTATTATGAAATAAAGGTAAAGGAAAAGGTAGAGCTGCGGTTGAAAGGGTTTCCATATTTCTGTATTTGTCTTTTTAAAGATCAAGATGTGATATATGCAATGATAAAGACTTGTCCTACCACTCTTCTAGGAGCTATATCACGAGCAGTTAATAGAATTCTACATCTTTACCTCTTATATTTAATTCAGACGTGTGTAATTCTGAAGATTGAAGGTTTAATTTATATATTTTGGAGGGGGATTTTAAAAAAGATCATCTACCATTGCACGAAAAATCCTATATATGTCGTAATTAATACTTCATGCACATAAATTGGTAATATAGTAGAATTACAAGACATGAAATCTCAATTTTTTATGTGAAAAGCGCGACTTACTGATGATGGGGTAACTTGCTGCCCTCTGTGTTTACCTAAAATAACACAGAATCCAACAGTAAATCGTCATAAGAATTCAGTAAACAAAAGAAGTAGGTTTTAATCATCCATGAAGAATTACCAAGAGTGCTACTAGGTAGTAAATCATTAAGAGCAGCTAAAAGAAACAAATGTTAACTTTCTGAACTGCGATTATTAGGAAATAGTCAGTCAGCATTCGTAATATTAAAGGCATTTACACAACTAAATCCACAAAAATGTCACTAATTTCCATTCACAGTAATCAATTTTTTTCTAAAAATAAAAATAAATAAATAAATAAATAAAAATCTTCCAGCATATGTTCGACTCGAAATCACAGTAGCATCAAAGAAGAAATAATGAACTTTAGGCAACTAATTCCTGGTAGATCTGAATGTTGTCCAATTACCATAATCACAATAATTTTTTTTTTTTTCAAAAAATAAAAATATATCTTCCAGCATCATCAGTCAACAACAGTTCATATCAATCTCATATAGCCGACATTGCATGGTAACGCCGCAGAAGAAATTCTAGTCACTAAGAATGTTGATGCTTCCTTTATACCAAAAATTTGAAGATTAATCAAATTACACTGACACTTTACTGATTTTAAATTTTCCTATAAAAATCATAATCATAAATTATTGCTCCATAGCTCTTTGATTAATGATCAGGATCCAGGAAAAAAACATGAAGAATAAATTTATTTTTTTCATCAGTAAAAAACTTCGTAAATTCATGTTCATTTTATTAGTTCCCTTTTGGATTTTTTTTCAGACGATAAATTAAAAACAAATATGTCGAGACGCTGATAAAACTTACATGTAAGAAATGAGAGAGATGCTCGGAAGTAGCAGATCTAAATATTTCTCGCGATATTTCGAGTTTTCCAGAGAAGTTAGGGTTTTGAAGACTTTTTGGGGCTCCTCTTTGTATTTTTATTTTATCTTCTCGTTCTCGTTTTACACCACCCCCACCCCGCCCCCACGTTTTTTTTTTTATTTTTTTTAACTTACTTTTATTTCTTTTCTTTTGTTAGTGTTGAAAAACTATGGACTTGTTTAGTAGTGATTTTGATAATGAATTTTTTAACCGTTGGAAAGAAAAGTGGATCTTATCTATGAAAGAAGAAATAAAAAATGACGACTTGAATAGTGAAATAACGATCAAAAAATTGATATTTTTGAATGAAAAATTGCTACTAAACATGCACTAGATATCGTGGTCTCAAAGTGCAAATAGCCATTTGTTGGGGTTTGTCCATTGTGCACTTTCTCAAAATAAATAAATAAATAACTAAATAATAATAATAATAATAATAATAATAATAATAATAAATTGATAATACATGTCAGTTTTTCAAATTGTCTCGATAAAAAGTAGTCATGCTTACGAAACACGTGACATTTGATGAATTTGATTGGTATCGAACTACCTCAATACTAGAAATTGAAGGTTGAGAACTCAATTATCTTGAAAAATTGAACGATCAAATAAATGAACATTTAGAAGTTATCGACACATAGAAAATTGAGCTTAACACAATATTGTGACGTTCTCATGTATCTTAATTTGACATGTGATTTATTAAACGCAAGTTAGACAACAATAAATAAATTTATTTAAACTGAAATTTTTGAGTTAATTTCATCAATTGTGATTGAAGTTTGTAATAAAAAAAAAAAAATCAAGACGATCATCAAGGTAACTTTCTATATTATTAATTAACAACGTTTAAAAAAGGATACACTTACTATCACTCAATTAAAACATAAATGTAAAATCCTATGCATCATTGTTAATTGTCACTTTGTACAAATAACACGATTTACAATTACATCAAATTGTATTTGACACATATGATTTATTTTACAAAATAAGCCCCAGTTTGTTTTCCATTTTTTCTTTATTAAAATGAAAAATATGATCGTTATCCGTCATATCAAGCCACCAAATTTGAATTTCTATCTCTTGTGTGGACTCATAACGGTTATATTTTTCATTTTCAATTTTACATTAATGTGTACCAAACGGGGAAGTAACTTATTTCAAATACGTAAAGAATGTTACCGTAATTTACTCAAAAGCAAAGTGTTAGATTATCCATTGTCCTATGTTACATGTCCTCTCCACAACACGCAGTCGAGGACGAGTTAAAAGGTTCCTTCTCCGCATAATCAGTAAGAATTATATTACTTCACGTGCAATTCCCACTCTTCCCGCCTGCGTTGTTGAATAAGTAAAATAAATCTCTCTTCTTAGATTTATGCACTCATTTATTACTCCTCCATCATCACCACCATCATGTAAGTTTCTCTCTCTTTAAACCACTTGAATTTGATTTTAACGATGATTTGATCGAGTCGAGTCGAATATATGTATGTAGTGACGAAAAAGAATTCATATAGTAAAGTTTAGAAAAATACTGCTTTTGAGAAGAAAGAGAAAAGTTGAACTAGAATTTCAACAAAGTCAGTGAAGGATGGAAGAAAAATGTTCACCTATAATACTTTTTTTTTTAAGGTCTAATGAAACCTAATTCTTGACTAATAGGTGGTTGACCAAACATGTCTAAGAATCAAAGTAATGATTAACATTTGGCTATTTGGAGGTTGTTTTAATTAATAGTACTAGTTCTTGATTTTGAAATGCTCGTATAGATGCAAAGAGATAAAAGAAAATGCTATCTGAGGGACCAAAAATGGGCAAAAAGTTCTGTTTTTCATCGATTTTGTTGTTTGGTGCTCTATACTTCATCATAGCAAGAGCTGAACCGATTGAAGATAAACAAGCATTGCTTGATTTCATCAATAATATCGACCGCATGCAGAATCTGAATTGGGACGCGAAAACTTCTGCTTGCGATGATTGGAATGGAGTGACGTGTAATCGTGATAAGTCGAGAATTATAGCTGTTCGATTGCCAGAAGTTGGAGTACGAGGCCGCATTCCTACCAACACTCTTGTGCGCTTATCGGCTCTTCGGATCTTGAGTTTGAGATCAAATGATATCAGCGGTACTTTTCCTTCTGATCTTCTAAAGCTTAGGAATTTGACTGCTCTTTATCTTCAGTTCAATAAGTTTCAAGGTCCATTGCCATCAGAATTTTCAGTTTGGAAACATCTTTCGGTATTAGATTTGTCGAGTAATGCTTTTAATGGAAGTATCCCTTTATCGATTTCGAATTTGACTCATTTGGAAGCTTTAAATCTTGCTAATAACTCATTTTCTGGGAATATTCCTGATGTTGATATTCCTAGTCTGAAACAGCTAGATTTGTCTAAGAATAATCTTACAGGAGTTATTCCTCAATCTCTTCTTAGATTTCCTCCTTCAGTTTTTGCCGGTAATAGTATTTCTCCTGATAAGCTTTTGCCTCCATCTCTTCCGCCTACTCTGTTGCCAATTAGGCATTCGTCAAAACTTAGTGTATCGGCCCTACTGGGAATTGTTATTGGGAGCTGTGTTTTGGCGTTCGTGTTGATCGTGTTCCTAATGATGTTTATGAACAAAAAGAGAGAGGACAATAAATGGGCCACGCTGAAGTCGAATAAGAATGACATGTCTTTCAAGAGGGAGAATTCTGAGCATCAGAAAGCGAATGGGAGGCTTGTGTTTTTTGAGGATTGTAATATCGTATTTGACCTCGAAGATTTGTTGAGGGCTTCTGCCGAGGTGCTCGGAAAGGGAACTTTTGGCACAACCTATAAAGCAGCATTGGAGGACGCCGGCACAGTTGTGGTGAAGAGATTGAAAGAAGTTAATGTCGGGAGGAAGGACTTCGAGCAGCAGATGGAGTCTGTTGCAAATATTAGGCACGTAAACGTGGCATCACTAAGGGCTTATTACTATTCGAAGGACGAAAAACTTGTGGTATATGATTGCTACGATCAAGGAAGTGTGTCTTCATTGCTACACGGTACGCTATTGCTGCATTATTTAGTCTCTTTATCGAATAAATAAGAATGATTGAACTCAGGTTTCTTCGGCGGGGAACCCCCCGTGGTTTGGACTCTCTATAGTGACCGAACTCTGATGTATTCATCATTTTTGCAGGAAAAAGAGGCGAGGACCGGTTTCCATTAGACTGGGAGGCCAGACTAAGAATTGCAATTGGTGCCGCAAGGGGAATTGCTCACATCCATTCCCAGAGTGGTGGAATGCTTGTTCATGGAAATATAAAAGCCTCGAACATTTTCATCAACTCACAGAGATATGGCTGCGTATCTGATCTTGGCTTGGCCACGTTGATGAGTCCAGTAGTGCCACCAGTAATTCGAGCAGCAGGGTATCGTGCCCCAGAAGTAACCGACTTCAGGAAGGTGTCACAGGCATCTGATATCTACAGCTTCGGAGTCTTCTTGCTCGAACTTCTCACTGGAAAGTCCCCCATCCATGCCACGGGCACGGATGAGGTCATCCACTTGGTCAGGTGGGTTAACTCCGTCGTTCACGAGGAATGGACCGGTGAAGTATTTGATGTCGAGCTTTTGAGGTATCCAAACATCGAGGAGGAGTTGGTGACTACATTGCAAATAGGCATGAGTTTAGTGGATAGAAATCCCGAGAAGAGACCGAAAATGGCCGATGTAGTGAAAATGTTGGAGGACGTAAGAAGTATCAATGCTGGCAATTGCCCATCAAGCGGAACAAAATCGCCAGGTTCATCGCCAAGTTTAACACCACCTACGTCTGTGATTGAATCCTCTCCCATTCATAATAAATGATTTTAGCTTCTTAGTAATGCAGTTTTTCAGGCTTTTCATTCACTTCCATTTGGAATCTCTCTTCTTTTACTAGGAAACCTTTGGTATCATGGCTTCATTCTGCTTTAAGATTATCTTGATTTTCTAGTATAGAGGTTGGTGCTCAAGAATTTGCTATGTGGACATTAGATCATAACTGGCTCTTGCTGTATGTTCAGTTTTAAGAATCAATCTGTGTGTGTGTGTGTGTTCGCGTGAGCACGTTTTATAATTCAGCCATGTTGGAACTCTTGGACCAAGGACAACAGAGTGAAGATGGTGCAAAATACGAGGAGCAGTGGAGTTCATCAACCATATACTAAATAAAACAACAGATTATGCAATTCACCGCTTACTTCATAAACTCCAAGGTGTTAAAGAAAGAAAAATCCGTTGAAAAAGAAAACGTTTTTGACAAAATTATATTTATCGAGGGTTGTGATCTTGCACTCGATCTTCAAGATTTATAGAGTGCTTCTGTTGACACACTTGGAAGGGGCACACTTTAGGCCTATATTTACAGCAAAACTAATGAATGGACCAAAGATAGTGGTAAAAATATTGGAAGGAGTGTTACATACTAGAGTTTGAGCAGCAGATGAAGTTACTCAGCAGTATCAAGAATGAGAATGTGGTAAAATCGACCAGTCCTACGGTGCCACAGTTCATGCGGGTTGCTGTGTATGATGCACCAGAAGTCAGGACACTGGTATAGTGTCCCAGGCATCTGATGCCTTCAGCTTTGGAGTGATGATGTCTGAAGACTATTTGAACTTCTCACTGGTGAGTCTCCAATATGTCTGAAGACTATTTTGAACTTCTCACTGGTGAGTCTCCAATAGATTATAGATGTGGCTGAGGATGGAGGATTTGACAGGTGGGTTCCATCTATTGTGAGGGAGGAACTGTATGTTAAATTTGATGCAACGAAATTTAAGTCTATTAATATAGGAGAACTCGTTGGAGCATAAATTAATGTTTTTAGCTTTTGTGACACAAGCAAAGATGTGTCGAATTGAAAGCCCCTGGGATTATTGAATGTAAATCTGTGCACCAACCTATGCAAACAGGGTTAGTAGTAGTAGGTATTCTATTCCTAGAGGTCATGGTCAACGAGAACTTATAATTAGGAACCAAAGTGTGAAAACAGAAATACATTTCAATCGCTTTCTGTTTGTCAAATATTTCCTTTTGTGATTATGAAATATTCTAGCACCAGTTGGCCTTAATAAAACCATAAGGCCGGACCCCAACCCAAGTTGTGCTGAGCCATGCCGCTTGACACCTCTAGGAAGAAGGCACTTTCAATTTCTAGTGAGACTAATTTCTTGACACGAGCACTCAGCATCGCATAAATTGAACTAAAGGATGCTCGATCTTGGAAAGTTCAAAGCATGCAAATTCACAATATACAGCGGAAATTTTTTTCACAATAATCACAAATTGTACAATGATTTCAGATTTTTTTACTGTAAAAAAATAACAATTAATAGTTTCTGGAGTCCTGGCAGAAACCAGAATAAGAATTGAGGGCAGTAAGAACAAAAACCAATCAATACTATTATTAAGCCAACTCCTGTAATAGCAAGCACAATTCTTCAGCAATGGACAAACTTACTCTCCGTTACATATGGAAAACCAGACTAACAAGCTACTCATTTCCGTATGATTCTTGTTTTGACACCACCTACATAGAAATAAGTAAAGAAATAAAAAAATATTGCACAATCACAAAAATAATGCAGAAATGAATGCATTAGCGACTGAAACAAACTCGACTCGCCTCAACAATGCCTTTAGGTCTATTTTAACAAAAGTCATCTCCAAACCAAACCGGAAAAGCTAAAATCATTCCTAATTACCTCAATCCATCTTATTTTAAGTTGCCTTCTTCAACACTTTACCATCTGTCAATTTTCCCAACATTTATGATTAAAAGTCATTGCTTAATAGGCCCAAACATTACTTACACAGTGAGTTCTAAAAACATCATAGCCAACTCTCTTTTATATTCCCATCCTCTACCGGTTACCAAGACCTTTGAGTTCTCAATCTTAATGTGTACTTGCCACAATGAGGCATCCAAATGCTTGTTTGGGAAAGATGATTTGAAGTGTACTATGATTTTTTAGGAAATGTGTATTTAGGGAAAAGTTACTGTTCCACGTACAAAATTATTTTATTGGGAAAATGTGTGATTGAAAATGAGTTTGACGAAAAAATGATTTTCAAATAAATTGTGCCAAACAAACGCTAAGTACCTAGTTTTTCGCTCTTGACTTTAGCTAACCTATAAATCTTATTTTCACGTGGACTCAAAAAGTGCAAGGCATGAAATACATTATTTCTTGTAAGCGTGTAATTAACCTTCAACTTCCTCAAATTGAATTTCCTTCACTATGTCAGCACCTGCATGATACTCGAATCTGCAAACATGGAATTGACTGCAATTAAAGAAAGTCGGACAGAAAAGATTAAAGCTTCAATTTTCACTTTTTCATTTTTCTGATGGGGGTACATTTTCATGTGATGTCCTACACAGCTACACTCAAAACGAATTTCTAGCCTTGCACATGCATACACAACAACAGCGCAGCTTAAATATGATGATCACTGATAACTGAAAACAACATAAGCGGTACTTCATTCTAAGGAGTAAAATTTGCCATTACATGATTTTATATAGTGCTTAGCAACGACACAATGTATTGTAGGTAATGAGAATGCTGTAAATCTTGGCTCACAACAGCATGTATAATATTGTGATTTGCCTATTTATGAGGACTGTTTTATTTGTACTTATTTATTCCTCAAGTCTAAGGAGCAAAAGCATATCATGAGCACTAGGGCATGTGAAGTGAAAACAGCCAGTATCTTGTAACCAAGAAAAACTTCTTTCATAGGTGGAGATGGAGAACCAAGAGATGAAAATGTATATAAGAATCTCCAAATGCTTTAAAAGAGATGGAAACTATTAAAACTGATAAGGCGAGTCCATATCCCAAGAAGTTTTATACAATTTATTCAAAGGAACTAAAGACACAGAGTATGTCCCAGTGATAGAGGAATTACTTGTTCCTTGAAAAGTTCTTTAAAAGTATTAATCTACTTGATTGATGAATCATAAGAAGACAACCCACAGATCATATGCTTAGCAAGAAAGAATCATCCAATAGAGTGTGTGCATTTCCCTAGGTCAATTTAGGGGCCAATAAAGAATTTAGAGTGCGTTTAGCTTTACTTTCCATGAAAAATGTCATTTCTCCACCCATATTCCTATTTTTGGAGTGTTTGATTGACAATTTTTTCCATAAAAAATATTTTTCAACTTTTGGTTATGCAATCATATTTTTGGGTGATATTTATTTTCCAGGTATTCGCTCCCTCTTTCTCTCTCTCATCTATCTCTTTCTCTCGTCCACCCACCAATAAAAATGGATAAAAATAATATTTTTAGGTTGAAAATTAAATCAATTAAACACATTTAATTAATAATTTCCATACAAATAAGTTTTAGGCAATTGATTGCCTAGAATTTATTTTATTTCCATGCAAAGTCCATGCACGCAATTAAACGCACCCTTAAGGTCAAGGCAAGAGATTTGACAATTTGCATAGCCATGATATGCGACTTTGAGAAGGTTCAGGCTGAACTTCAAAATAGATTTGAAGATAGCGGAATCCAGATTACCTGTTAGACAGAGATACCTCAAGTTCATAGTCTGATGCACTCTTGGTAGCATCTACTAAGACAGTTACAATTTCAGTCTTTCGGGTACTAGCCATGAGTAGATCATATTCAGTGGGAATAATAATGGAAAAGAAATTGTCACTTAGTTCACTCAAACAAAGCTTCTCAACAGCTGCCAGGGCAATCCTTCTTTTGAGTGCATCGGTGTCTGGGTCCACAATGTAGATGGCAAAATCAGTTATTAGAAGTATCCGGCGTTTCATCTTCCCTGAGCTAGTGAATTTTAAAACTTTATCCGCAAAGAGAACTTTTTTATCACCTGTAATAAAGAGAATGGAAGCACCTATTTAATAGATACGATAACGCAGACTGAGAAACATCTATAACATAATCAAGAAAATAAATAAACTGCGGGGGGGTCATTGCGAAATAACAACGTAATTCTTCCCAGTATGCAAGCAGAATTATAATTTCAAACAACAAATAGACTTAACTGCACCATTCATTTGGCCAAAAACAGCATATATACATCTGTCAACGTGATTCTTATCCATATAGTCATGAGCATATTATTTCAGCATTTTTACCATAGTTGGAGAAATATCAAACTAATAACATATATGGCAACAAGATTATAGCAACAATAAGAAATAATTTTCAGCCAAATGTACAAACATTTTCAAATTTGACAAACGTTATTGCCTTCTCCACTTGTAAAAGCTGATTTCCAACCAGAAGCTTCCCTATTTCTTTCACCGGATCATCACCATTTCAAGATATTTTGGGTGCCATCTCTCTTTTCATGAAAGTATGGATATTTAGTTTTCTCTCTTCAGCTGAAAGATTTAATATTTGGCGAAAACTGTGATTTAGATTAAAGAAGTTTTAAAGTATCTTAACTCCTTCAGCTCTGATTATAGATTTCAGCTGATACTAAAATTCTTAAAAATTGTGATGAAACCACAAACTATACCAATTTGAATAGTGAATACCAATACTCCAAATGACATTAACCTATAAACTTCTGTATATTCATTTATTTTCACTCGAGATCACATAATATTTAACCAATAAATATCAAATAAAATTAAGTATCCACATCACGTAAACCATTACTCTATTACGCATCAACAAATTTAAAAATACTCAAAACAAAACCTTGTTTTTCTAGAATTCTCATGAGGTAGGGTCTGGATGGCACATCGATATAATCACCCAAATAATCTCGAAGGCGAGAGGCTTTTCTCCGGACTTTGACTCCCATAAAGGGCTCTTGATCCTCCGTCACGTTGCTATCAGAAGGCCACAGTTTCATGCTACCACTTCCATCAGAGCCGTCGTTATCTAGGGTTTCAGGGGCGCGGCCATTGTCATCGTCGTAGCTAGCAGACTCGATTTGGACCCGCCGGCTCGATAGGAACCTCGACATTTATGGAATGTAGAAAATTAGCGGCGGTGGAGAGTGAATGCGAAATGGGCTGTAGTTGGAGAGAATCTATGGGACCCGATGACCTTTGCCGCAAACCGTTTGTTTGATCGGTTGTTACGCAATTTGAGACCTGCCGACGCTGATTAAACGTGGGGTTAATTATATGAGTAGTCACTGAACTTTGTCCCATGTTACTACTTCGTCATTGAACTTAAAAGCATAACTCAATGGTCACTGAATTTCATCAAGTGTTACTACTTTATAACCAAACTTTAAAATATATCTCAATGGTCATCAAACTTTACACTGTGTTACTCATCCATCACTCAAATGAAAAAATTCGTTAAGTCCAGCAAACGACGTCAACTTGCGTGACGGATGGGTAGCACGGTGTAAAGTTCGGTGACTATTAAGATACATTTTAAAGTTCGATTATGAAGTAGTAACACTTGGCGAAGTTCAGTAACTATTGAGTTACGTTTTAAGATCAGTAACTAAGTAGTAACATAGGGCAAAGTTCGATGACCATCAAGATATATTTTTAAATTGAATTATTAAACCCTTGTTTGTGTCTCATTCTTTCCCAAAATAATAATAATAATAATAATAATAATAATAATAATAATAATAATAATAAATTCTTAAACAGTGATTTGACATTATTCAACCACACATTTTTCAATAAAATAATATTACACGCAAATTCAAAACTTTTTCTTATTTTTTAGCCATACATTTCTATCAATATACTATTTAAAAATTCAATTTATCCCTCTAAATGGGGATCAAACAATGGCTAAACTTCTCAAATCGATCTCTATGAAAGAAGAAAGCAAAGAAGATGAAGGGAAAAAAGAGAAAACAGAAAATCAGAGACATATAAATTAAATAAAAATAGAATTGTTGCTAATATTCATTCATCACGAACAAAAAGTACATTTGATTTTTAGATCAACTGATATCAGTTCACTGTATCTCAAACTCCGCATAAATAGATTGAAAGAGAAACAGTTAGAACACTAAAAAAAATTGACAAAGAAAAATTAAATAAAAGTACAAAAATGTTCGAATAGTGTCAATGTAACTGAGGTTGATTTGATTTTTCAACTATGTTACTACTTAATCACTGAACTTAAAAATGTAAAGCAATGGTCACTGAACTACGTCAAGTGTTATTACTTCATGACTGAACTTTAAAATGTATCTCATTAGTCACCGAACTTTGGATCGTATTACCCATCCGTCACTCAAGTTGGCGCCGTTTCTTGGACTTAACGGATTTTTCCATTTGAGTGAGGGATGGGTAACACGGTGATAAGTTCGGTGACTATTGAGATATATTTTAAAGTTTGGTTATGAAGTAGTAATACTTGACGAAGCTTAGTGACCATTGAGTTACGTTTTTAAGTTCAGTGACTAAATAGTAACATAGAACAAAGTTTAGTGACCATTCATATAATTAACCCATTAAACATGACACCGTTAAGATAACTGGATCATAGAAAAAACTATGGGGACCAAATTGCAACATTTCAATAATTGGATGAGGACATAAAATGAAGAATGAAGACGTATTAACCTGGTTTTAATTTTTTTTATTAGTCTGACCCCGAATCCATCCCTTCCAAAGTGTTACCAAATGACATGCCAAGTTAGCATTAATCGCTATTCAAAATGAAATACATGAATTTATTATATTATTCACGCTAGAAAAATTGGATCGAAACTACAATTGTATGGCTTTTTTTTTAATTTCTCACTTTCCGAATTTATTAAGTTGACATAATAAATAACGTTGTTTGGTAACACGTTGACAATTAATGGTGTCACGTATAATTTCTATCGACTCCGATCTCTTTTCATTTATTTTGGGTATTACCAAACCTAGCCTAGCCTTTGTCAATCACACTAAAGCCGAGCACCCAATTATGGAAAAGCCTCCTTAACTTAAGGGTGGGTTCAATTGGATGAATCTATCAAGTCAAGGAAAACGTACCTAGCAGCAAAGATGGTGCATCGCTTATTTCTGTTTCTCGCTCGGGAGCCAAAACGAACACGCCTACTACCTACTGTACTGGACCTTGTATTTACCTTAGTTCTCTAACATATCACTAACAATCTATTTAGAGTTCTACATTGTCAACAATCATGTTAGCCCGTGCAATATATAGGTTGGCTAGGCTGTGGACAAGCATGTTGAATTTTGTATCTAATAGCTCATGGCATGGTCAATCTAAAGGCTCAAGTCCTAACGGGCGCATTCACCCTAATTATTCTTCAAAAAATAAAAATAAATAGGCAAGTTAGAGGTCAAATGACCTTCGACCACATTCAAATAGAAAAGAATAATAATATCTAGCACTATTGATATCACAACACAAGTTTATTTATCGTTATGTAATAGACTTGATGAAAAATATAATTAAATTATTCATTTAACTGTACCCTTCATATAATGTTATTTACTTTTTGTCTTTGTTCCCCATTCCGATTGCAGTGGCAAAGAGATTAGAGAGACTTCAAAGAGAATTTCTGTGGGCAGGGTTGGGGGAGGGGAGAAGAGGAGACTCTATTTGGTCAATTGGGGAGTTGTTTGTTTGCCGATGAGGATGGGGGTCTTGGGGTGAGGAGCCTTGTGTTGTTCAATAAGACCTTATTAGGCAAGTGGTTGTAGCGATTTGGAGTGGAGAGGGAAAGTTTCAGGAGAGAAATAATTGGGGTGAAGCATGGTGGATGGAGGGGGGATGGTGTACATTTGAGAATTGTGGCTCTTATGAGGTGAGTTTATGAAGCTATATCCGACGAGGATGAAGTGCTTTTTTTAACAAACTGAAATATGTGGTCGGAAATGGTAACGAGATTAGATTTTGGGATGATTGTTGGTGCGGAGATCAACCGTTGAAGGAGGGATTTCCATCCTTGCACCGCATTGCCTCAGTGCCCACTGCTATGGTGAATGATCTCTTAGACATTTATAATGGGAGCTATAGCTGAAATATTACTTTTGGGAGGGATCTACGTGATTGGGAATTGGAAGATTATTCGCTATTTATGACCTTTTTACATAAGGCACAAATTCGGGTAGGAGAGAGGGATTGCATCAGGTGGAGGACAGCACGGGATGATATTTTTTTAGTTCGCTCGTACTTTGGTTCCCTCATGGGATGTGTGAATAATTCATTCCCCTAGAAGTTGGTGTGACAGTGTAAATTGCCTCCTTGGATGACATTCTTATTATGGACAGTTGTGAGGGGACAGATCTCAACGGTGGATAATCTTCGATATAAAGGCTTCTACGTAACCGAGTGGTGTTATATGTGCAAGAAGGATGGGGAGACGATCGATCATTTATTCATTCATTGTGATGGTGTACGTTGGATTTGGAACTGTATACTTGGTTCTCAATCTATGGATTGGGTGATACCTCGTCGTATAGAGAACGTGATATGAGTATAGCAAAGAAAACTTCGTGATAAGAATAGCAAACTAGCATGACACCTTATCCCGAGCTGCATTGTATAGTGCGTGTGGAGAGAAAGGAACAATCGTTGCTTCCAAAATCAAACAAAGACAAGAGAGTAGATAAGAGAAACATTTTACTTTACCTTGTATTTTTGGTTTAATGCTGTGGCTAAAAATCCTGTAGATGGGCTGTCTAATTGCATGTTGTTATTTAATGACTTAAAGTGATTGTACACTTTCCGTGTATTCTCTTTTAAATAATAAAATTATCTGATTACCTATCAAAAAAAAATATATATATATCACATATATTGACATCAATCATGCTAATAGCATTACTTAAAAGAAATTTTTTTTATGAAGCGTACGTAAATGTAGTAAAATACTAGTGAGATTTCAATAATACAAATGATATCATTCCGAGGATAATTCCCTGCGTACAGGGAATGGTTGACAGGGTTTTTTCATGTGTTGCCCATATGGTTGTGTTTATTTGTGTTTTTTTTCTCTCAATGAAATTGCGCCATGTGTTATCTGTCAACAAAAAATTGTGAAAACTTGTTGTAGTCATAGCACTATTCCCATTCTGATTGGGGCTATAATTTCTTCAAATGAGATGAGTCTTATCTAAAAAATAGTTTGACATGGGTGACCCTGAGTAGCTTAATCGTTTAACAACAATAATTAAGATAATTATTGTAGAATTTGATGAGACAACACATGATTACTCTCCAATGTCGACATCAATAGTAACTGTTGAACTGCAGGTTAAGGATTACTCTCCAATGTCGACATCGACAATAATGCAGGCAACATCCAGATCATTTCCCATGTTTGGATAAACTTAAAAGTTCATTTATATAGAAGTAATTTATGTAAAAATTATAAATAAATAAGTATTAATTTTGATACACTTTATCAATCAAAGCAATTTTTATTTTATTTTATTTTATCGTCGATTTGACTTGGACTTCATATCTTGACCTTTACTTTATATTCGACAATGTTTCCACTGATTTTTAAAACGGTTGTAACTCAAAAATATTGTAGGGACCAATGGTAAAATTCCCTGGTAAAATGTTATGAGTTCTGCTTCTGAGCTAGGCTCAGAAACAGGGTAAAAAATAGGAGGCTGAGATGGCATCACTTCAGCCCTCAGATCCCATACATTTTTTTTTTTTCAGATCCGACGATCGAGGTGAAAACACCTCGGTACCCTGTTTTTTGGCCTGGACAATCAGCATTTTCGAAATGTTATTTGAGAATTTTAACGGCAAAATCAAATGTAAAATCCCCATTCTATGTCTGATGTTCCTTTCAGCCGACAGGGCAGCATCAGCATGTCCTCACATGGACCCCACATGGAATAAAAGCGAATTATTCGGCCCTCTTGGTTCGAAAATGTAATCCACTGGCAGTAAGAATTTCACTATTGGCTCTCAACTTATCGCTCGAGAAGGAAGGTTAATACTTAACTATAAAAACTCAGTCCTCAAAATTTCACATAAATCATAATGGTGGAAACCTTTTAAATTTTCGTTAAATTATAGTGCGATCCATTTGAAAATATGATTAACTTTAAAAGCGTCTAGGCATAAGCTCGAGTTAGGAAACAAGACTTAATATTAAAGTTCGAGCATGTGAAAGCCATGAGAAATTTAACAAAACCTAAATTATTAAGATCAACGTTAAAATTAGATCAAGTAGATACTTAACTTAGTATGAATATGTGGCAAAAAAATAAAAGAAATAAAAAATGGTTCACAACAAGGAAAAACCATGAAGATTCATGTTAAGTATAGTCCTTTTTGTTTCAATATTTTATTTTTATCACCATTAGATCTTGATTAGTGACCGTTTACATTTTCTTGATCAATACTCGCACCAGTTTTTAAAACGTTGATTAGGAGTTTGGACTTATTTCGTAACTATATTGAAAAGTTGAGAAAGAATGAGGATTAACCTACCACCTAAAATTATAGCTTAGGGACCAATAGTGAAATTTTGCCTTACAAAATACAATCTTCCTCTCCATTTGTACCATTGGACTCCATTTTAGAATCTCCGCCTATAAAAACTCATTTCTTCACGTAATTTCCAAATTCTCTGCTATTTTTCTCGTCTCAAAGCGTAATAAAGTTTACTTACCCTCCTCAGATTACCATATCTGGAAAACCCAGCAGGAGGATCATTTTTTTTTTCAGGTAAAATTTCAAATTCAGGCTCTTTCGATCCATATCCATGTGTATGTTTTTGGGGAGTATTTTCTGGGTTGTGTTTTTTCTTTCATAAGAATTTTTGGGCGTGTTAGATAATTGTACACGTTTTTTAGGTGGATCTGGATTTTTTGTGGTGAATAGATGGCGTCGAAGCGGATCTTGAAGGAGCTCAAGGATCTTCAGAAAGATCCTCCTACCTCTTGCAGCGCTGGTATACTACCAACATTTCATGAAGCCAAAAAACCAAAAAGAAAAGATTTTTTTCTTTATGTCTATGCAACTGGGTTTTTTAAAGAAGGGAGTTTTTTTATTTGCTTATAATTGTTTACATGTTTGTGATTTCTTGAAAAATGATTTTGATCTTTTCAGCTTGTGGTTGGTTGATTTTTGTAAAGCAATTATGGATTATTTCAGTCTGAGTTTTGTTAGAGTTGAGCTTTATTATAATGAGATAACTTGTTTTTTGTTGCATTAAGTGAATTCTTTTATTCATTGTTCTAGGTGGTTTTGATCATCCATTATTTATTTTACATAGAAGTTTTTAATTTTGAAAAGCAATCACAAGAAGTAAAACATCAGAAATAATGTTTGAAAAGCAAATCGAAACTCAACTTTATCATTCCTACTTTTATGTATCTTCCTCGGGTACTTTTGCTGTTGAGTGTTCGTCTGGATCTCATAATCTGTTTTGATAAAAGAGCCTAAATGTGACTAGAAGATCAATTCTCTTGAAATGTTTAAAAGCTTTATAGCCATTTGACTAATCGATGAACATAAGATTTTGAGTCTTGAAATTTGTGGAACTAATTGGATCTTTATGTGTGCGTCCAGGAACATAGGCACAAGGCCATGTTTACATAGCCAAAGCATTCAATTCTTTTGTACTTCAGGTTTTCATTCTTTTAAGTTGGTAATAATCTTGTTGAGAGTTGATGATCCGTTGCAGTTTTATCACTCTTGGATCTGTATATGAGCTATGTAATTCCTTATAATCTGGAACCTTTTTTTTTATTTATTATTTTGAACTTTTTCACAAGGACATGTAAACTTAAAGTTAGGGATTTATGAAGAAGATGCTCTAGATTCTAATTTGCTGTTACTCATCTGGTCTCCCACTTTGTGCATATTTCAGGTCCTGTTGCTGAGGACATGTTTCATTGGCAAGCCACGATCATGGGTCCTCCAGATAGTCCATATACCGGTGGGGTTTTCCTAGTCACTATCCATTTTCCTCCAGATTACCCTTTCAAGCCACCTAAGGTGTTTCATGTGCTTTAGTTGTCCTGCCTGCAACATTTGCATTTTTCGCCTTTTTTTTTTTTTTTGACAAATAGAAAATATTTTTGAATTTCTTATACATTCATAATGATGACTTTTACAGGTTGCTTTCAGGACAAAAGTTTTCCACCCAAATATTAACAGCAACGGAAGCATATGCCTTGATATATTGAAGGAGCAGTGGAGCCCTGCCCTAACTATTTCCAAGGTTCGTTTTCCATGTGGAAAATGCCCTAATTTTCTCAAATCAGTCTAGCCTTTGTATAAATATTACAAGGAAAAGTGGTGTAATGCTGGTGGTTAAAGTTATGGCACAATCACCCAGGGAATTCAATTGATTGCTTATCTTCAAATTTTACCCTCAGCTTTTTATGAAAATGTAATCATTGAATAGATCATTTCTTAATTGCATTCTTGAGACTTTCAAATTCAAAGTGCAAGGAAGTTGAATTGTTTTGTGATTCCCAATTTTCAGGTGTTGCTTTCTATTTGTTCATTGTTGACGGACCCAAATCCAGATGATCCTCTGGTGCCCGAGATTGCTCACATGTACAAGACAGACAGGAACAAGTATGAGACCACTGCAAGGAGCTGGACTCAAAAGTATGCCATGGGCTAACTGTGTTTTGATATGTAAAGAAGGGAGGGCATTTAGCTTTCAAAATGCTTTAGTCTCTTAATTTTTCTGCAAAAATTAGTTTACTCCGTTTTTCATGTCCTAAATTGGATTAACTAGAAGTCCAATATGCACTTTCAACAGAAGGAAAGATATACATTGTTTTTAAAATGCTTGTGTCTGTGTAGTTTATCTTTGAAAAGTTTCCCGAACAATTGATACTTCACATTTTTTTTCTTAAGTACTTCTGAGGACGCCACAGTTAAAAGTGATTATACAGGAGCAAGGAGAAGGTTACATAAACATTACACTGCACTTATGCAAAAATGGAAAAATGAAAAACCTCCTGGCAGTAATATAATGCAGTCCAGTTTTAGATTTCGTAGAGCATCCCAATCTGCATTGTTCTTTCTGGTGGGATTTCAAGTGTTGAAACTGCTGCCCTGCTATTCTTCTGAAGAAATCTGTATAAATAATCGATTGTGAAGCGTGCGAGCATTCCATTACCCTGGTTTGCTTTTAGGATTGTCCGGCCTGTGACAAAAATAATCCCTTTTTGTGCAGCTAATTGAATTCTTCGTTCTTCATTCATATTATCAACATGCTCTTGTAGTTTTGCCACCATTGAATTAATATAGGCATCTCCTTTCATGTCCTGAGAATCCTTGTACCCAAACTGAACCAAACACCTATAAACCCCTTCAAGTCCTAATTTCCCGACATTAAACCTTTCCTCCGGTAGAACAGTTTTGATTGGTAGAGTTCTAACAGTGATAATCACCATAATTTCTTGAACAGAGTTTGTATTCTGAACGTAATGCCGGATAATGGGTGGAATTCCGTTGACCAGGTCGGTAAAGAAAAAACAAATTCCCGGTGTCCGATAGATATTGCTGCTTGATAGCATTTCATCCAGTTCCCTTGTGCTCATTTTTCTTTCTGCTTCATATGCACTTTTTTTACTCCTCCCGTATGTCCACGATAGCATTATGATCAAGAAGATAGCCGATATAGCAAAAGGTACCCATCCTCCTTGTGGGATTTTGTTTAACAATGATGTCATGAATATGCCCTCAATTAACATGTAGGGCAAGAAAAAACCTAGGATGAGTAGAATATTTGTCTTCCATATGACCAACTTTACTAATGTTGTCAAAAAAGTGGTTATGATCATGACCCAAATGACCACCACACCTGTAGTTATGATCCATGCTGAATAATTATTAGAAATTCAACAAATATTGCGTTATATTAGACATTGTATAATAGTTTCTCGAATTTTAATTAGATTTAGCCTTACCGTATGCATTTGCTAGTTCAACACCGCCTTTGAATCCTAGGACCAGACCAACAGTGAGAATCATTAGAATGTAGTTGATTTCTGGGGAATAGACTTGCCCTTCATGCTTGGAAGAGGTGTGAATTATGTTAACTTGAGGAAAACAACCAAAAGCGAGTGACTGTTTTACTATCGAAAAGCTTGCAGAAATCATAGATTGGCTTGCAACAACTGCAGCCAGGGTAGAAATAACAAACATTGGCCAGTACACAGGATCTGGTAGGGAACTGTAATAGGCATCGCTGATTTTCTCTGGATGCTTAACTAAATAAGCTGTTTCACCCGCGTAACTGATGATTAATGAAGGATAAACCACGAAAGAGAAACCTAACTGCAGGAACCATAGTTGTTTTACTTAAATAGCCCTTAAATAATTACAAAAAATCTTGGGTTGCTGTTTCTTACCTGAATTGCTCTCTTGTTGAAGTGACCTAAATCAGCAAACATTGCCTCAGCTCCTGTCATAGTGCATATAAGTTGTAAGTTATACTTTAAAAAATTTGGGGAAGTCCTAGAGAATGCTAGTTACCCGTGCCTAAACCTAGTTGGACTTGTGTGTTACACTAATATTGATGAGCTCAGATTATTCACTCTGGGTGATGTTAGATACTTAGAAATGCCCCATACAGCATGCTTCATGGACTTGAGATTACACCTGTTATGCTCAAGAATACCGCTCCAAGAAGATCCCACGCCGTCTTGGTGTTTCTCAAGAAGAATTTGACAATGTAGTGAGGAGATACAGCCTTGATAATGGATGGATGGTACTTGATAATGTTGTAGGTGCCAATTGAAACATTGGTAACAAACCACAGCAACATTATAGGAGAGAAGGAGAAGCCAACTTTGCTGGTTCCACAACGTTGGAATGCAAAAAGTGCTATTAGAAGTACAACAGATATCCAAACAACGTGATCTGCGGCAATGAAATATAGGAAATTTGCTTAGAAAACATTGAGTGATATTTTTAGCGTCTGTTTGTCCTCTTTTAACAAATTAAATTGTTTGCTACAGTTACATTCTCCATCATACATTTATACAATAAAATATTCTACACACAAACCAATAAAATTTCTTTAAATTTTAACCACACATTCTCCTAAAAATACTATTTAGAACTCTATAATTTCTCCCTTAATGGGAGACAAACAGGCTTTTCGTAGGCTGGACCAGAGAAAAATGAACATGAGAAGGAGTTCGATGTGCCAAACATGTTCATATAAGCTTTGATTTTCGGCACTTTTTGCACTAAGAAATCTTTCTTTGCCAACAACATACCTTGCGTGATTTTGGAGGAGCGAGACTGAATTCCTTGAAGGGCTGAAAGAACTGAAGAAAACAAAATGAGCTGACAGGGAGTTCAATGAATATATTATTATGAAGTATATATATACAAAAAACTTGCTTTTTTTAAGAGAAAAATTCCACATCGATTATATTAACAAAAATAAAGGTTTGAGTTACTCTTAATAAACTTGATCTTTTGACATGGGATCTCAAGTTTTTATAGTTTCTAGGGCTAATAATGGTTTAGCCCTATTGGTTTCAACTTTCTATCGATCGGGTCGCATTTAGATACGCTTAACTGAAAAGGACATGACTAGATAAGGTTAAGGTGATACAAATTATCAGTTATCATGTCCAATACAACGTGTTAGATTTTGAGTTGGCAATTCTGTGAACAAATGGTAAAATTATAATTGTTCAGAAGTTTGGGGTCAATTTTTACATGTGTAAAAAGATGGGGGACTAAGTTACAATTTTGTCAAAGTATGTTAGGGTTCGAGTTGTGAAGTAGGGCAAGATGTGCCTTTGAAGTTTCGTTAGCTACTCGTCAAGTGGTTGCTCGAGCATCGAAAACAGAAAGCCTTTCGCTCGCTTATTGCCCCTACTTCGCTCGAGCGAAACAACGTCGCTCGAGTGACAGTGTTACCTGAAAAACCCTATTTTCCTTTTTTTCGAAATTTTGACCCAACCTATATGACCCAAAACATCTCATATAAATTGAATTGCACCATTTTTCAGAGTTTTCCTTAAGGATTGAATTTGAAGAAAATCCTCTACATCTTGAATCTTTCTTTCAATCCCACTTATGATCAGTGCAATTACTTAAAAACATCAAAACTACCTTCATCAAACATTGTAACACAACATTCCAGAGCATTTGTTGATTCTTGAAGATCAAAGAAGGAGATCGGGGTTCTGATCATTAGAGAACGAGGAGTTCTCTGAAATTCAAAGGAGATAGACAAAATCAAGAGCCTGATATTGCTGTTGCATGCAATCCAGGAGGGCTAGGAGCCAGGAGTTAGTGCAGGACCACTCATTCTAGGAGGGCGTTGAGAAAAATACAATCAGGAGATCAGAAAAACTATTGTAGATTGAATCTGACGGATCGTAAGTAATATTTTCGTTTATAGTGGATTCCTACTGGTTTGGGTCTAGAGTTTTACCAACATTGGCGTTTCTCCGTCATCAAATAATTGTGTTCTTTATAATTTGAGCACTTTATTTGTTTTTGGTATTTCAACATAGGCTAGTAAAACACGTGAATTGATCTGGACAAATTAGTATTTGTGACTTGTTGCATTTGTTAATAAATTGGTTAAAAATTCCGCATAAACACCTATTCACCCCTCCCCCCACCCTCTAGGTGTTGATTGGATCGAACAACATTATTTCACAATGAGCCGAAGACAAGTTTCTAAATTACTAATAGAAGCAGAAATTACCGCAAGTTGCTGGGTAAGTGCTCCATCCCCAATAACCATGCAAGTTCCAAGCAACACAAGAATAGTAAGAAAGTTTTGAGCAGTATGATTTGTCTCAAGAAATTTTCTCGTCCTCATACGCAGAGGACTTCCTCGACTGCAGTAAGTCATATCTTTATCCGACTCCAATCTTGTATTCCTAATGCTGAATTTGCTCCGAATATTTATATGTCGACAGATATAAGAATATAGAGCGAAAGTACCACCTTCTCCAAGATCATTTGCATCGAGAACAATAAACACGTATTTAATTAACACGAGACCAGTTAATGTCCAGATAATTAGGCTTAGCGTTCCTAATAGATTTTCTTCTGTGAGGTTTGTTAAACGAGTTGAAGAGAATACATTGACAGGGGAAGTTCCAAGGTCTCCATAAACAACTCCAAGGGACTGGTAGGCTAACACCAACGTCTGCATGACTGGATACTCCTGAGACCATAAAAATTCATCAACTTCAGATGTTATTACAGTAATCTACTTTGAACAACCTTGTAAGTGTTGATGAATTTATCAAGAAGACCATTCATGTAACGAATTTATCAACAAGAACATAATAAATCATAAGATTATGTGTTCAAATCCTAAGGATGTGACAGAAAATTGTAAGGTGTAAGATAAGCTAAGCTCTCCTATATTGGATAGTACGTAATTTAACAATTTGAGTATAGATTTCGGATCGTTATAAAAAAAAAATCCTCACGAATTTCTATTGTGTCCTCAGAATTCGAATTCATGACATTTTCCTGTAGAAATACTTAAGGCCTTGTTTGACAGTATCAAGTTTTCCATGGAAAATGGAAAATCTATTCCATTTTCCATCTTTTAGGGTGTTTGATAGGCTTTTTTTCAAGGAATTTGCTTTCTTATTTTTCTCGGGAACTAGCAATTTTCCATGTTTTCTTAGAATTCGAGTTCTCACCACATTGGTGAGAATTCGAATTCCAGCCACTGTAGTTATATTTTTTTCGATTTTTTTTGTTTGGGAAATGGAAACAAATTTTAAGAATTATTGTAAAAAAATATTTCCCTTTAATTGACAATTTTCATGTAAAACAAAGTCAAACGAATACCAAAATATAGATGATTTTCTTGAATTTCTTGAATTTTTTTTATTTTTTTATTTTTTTGGCAATGAAAACAAATTTCATTCCTAATACCAGTAAAATTTATCTCTTTAATTGACAATTTTTATACAAAACAAAGCTAAACAAACCCTAATAGACACTTTTATTTCAACATTTTTCACGTGAAAAATTATACCAATCGAACACTATTAATTTACAATTTCCAGAAAAATAATTTCTAGACAATTCAATTCCCTGGAATTTATTTTCAATTCAATTAAATTCCGTCTTTGCAATCAAACGGACCCTAAATTAAATTCTAATTCCAATTGGGTTGTTAGTTACACTTCACGTGCATGTTGAAATTGGCATTAACAATTTTTATATGATTACGAGACTTGAACTAAGAACATTTAACTATTCTGATATTAAGTTGAACCATTTCATCTAAAAAGGGTTTAAGTTGTTAAGAGAGGGGGCACAAATTAATTCAATAATCTTGTCATTAACATGGCACATAGGTAGGTCAATTCATTTTTTATATTGTTAGTCTGATACGTGTACAATTTTTTATAAATGAGTGATGACAAAACCTATATTCACTATTCAGAATCGTTGTAATTTACCTTTGCTTTGCTTTGAGGAGATTGTTGATATGTCCGAGTAAAACTCTTGATTCTGTCAACGACAGCCACCACCCTTTCTTCAACCCGTTCATCACACAAGGTAGAACCACCATTTTCGACATCGTCCCTGGCTATATCATCTTCCATTCTTCTTAACAATTTCTAGTGTAGCATTTTTGCTTACTTTCCTAGTTATATAGTTGAAGACATGTCTTGTGTACTAAATTTTCAACCACAAAATTAAATAATTGTAAAGCAGGTAACAGATGACAGCTGTACGTGCAATAAACTTTTAAGAGAAAAAATTACAGGGCAACTCCGGCAAAAAATATACTATAATAATTAATATAGATTACAATATTCAAATTTATACCCCAAAACTTGAATTCTCCACAAATTAGAATACCACAATAATTAATCTCTAAGACAATAAATAATCTCCCCACAAATCAACAAATTCGATCAACTTTGTGAGAATCCACTTTGAATACTACACCTATGAAGTACCCAAAATACTACTTAGAGAAAATCCCAATTTATATTATGTAGAGAAGAAAAATAACCTGTGTGAATCCACACCCAAATTGAAAAAATAAATAATCTCCTCACAAGTCAACAAATTCGATCAACTTTATGATAATCCACTTTGAATACTATACCTATGAAGTACCCAAAATACAACTTAAAAAAAATCTTAATTTATATTATGTAGAGAAAAAAATAACATGTGTGAATCCACACGCAAATTGAAAAATAAATAAATCCTTGTCCTTCTTTTAATGCTTCTCCAACAGCTAGAGTTTATTTCTTCAATTGGAGCTGTCGTTTATGACTTTTTTAATGGCAATAATGGCAGCTACCTTTTTGTGTTTTCTCTGACAACTTGGAAGCCACAAAATTTTGTCTCTCACTCACACGTCTCATCATTCAACCAAAAGAGAGATGTAGGGGCCGTTTGAGCTCCGTTATTTGTAAATTATAATGAGATGAATAATATTTTTTTGAAAAAAGAGTGGTTAAAAAGTTTTTGATTTATATGTAATATTATTTTATTGAAAATTGTGTGACCAAAAATAGGAGAGAGAGAAATTTAATTTAATGTAATGAAAAATAATGGGGCTCAAACGGGGCTATATATATAGCCACTGTTTTTTACTTCAACAACAATTCCTCTCAACCACGTATTTAACCTTATTAAAGATAATCTAGTAGATTGGGCTTCAGTGGGTTTTAATGGGCTGTAGTGGGCTGGACCCACTCAACATAATCTAAATAACTTACGAATTTTTATCTCTCTTGCATGAAATTTTTTTATTAATTTAAAACAGTTATTTAAACCTAATGCAATTGACTGACATTATCGCTTGATTATTATTTTCTCCGACGAGTAAAGCACTTAAAGCAGCCAAGGCTACTGGGTATAATTTATTATATGTCGGACTGTTAATAAAAAAAAGTATTCATTTCAACCTGCACATAAAGGAACGATATATATTTAAGAGAAAATATTATTAATATTTAATACTATTTGAAATGAAGCAACTGCAAGCACGCGATGCTAAGATCAACAAGTTGGAGAAAATAGGACCTTTCTTTGGTCTTAATAAGTGGATTGCTCAACCAGGCGCGGAGCCAACACCCGGCGAGGAGGCGCGGCCGCGCGTGCTGGCTCCGTCGGAGTCTTCAATCAGTTCAGTGGCCGCCGGGTTGGCAATTGTAGATGGAGCCAGTTAGCCAGGAGGAGGAGGAAGAACTCAGTTTCAATCGGAGAAGACGACCACTTTATTAATTTTTTCTTTGGGCTAATCTAACTGAAATCGGGCCTATTAAAAAAAAAAAAATTGGCCCAAATATGGAAATTGAATCCATTAAAATGGATAGTCCACGGATCTTTGGATATATTGGTTTTAATTGACATTTCTCCCAACTCCTAAACCTGAAATTAGTCCCAAAATCGCAAACCCTTGGTCGGTTGGTCCCTTCCATTTCCATAGTTCCTTTATATAGAAACCGGTTACCCACTACCCAGTTACCCTTCAATTTTCATTTCTCTCTCAGGATACAATGGAGGCGTTTGATTAAAATTGTGTATCCCTTGGAAGTGACTGTTAAAAATGAACAGATGCACCTATTCAAAAACTTTTGAAAATAAAATTCTCTTTGCGCAGCAGCAAATACTAATCCGGGCGGCAAATCATTTACAAAATAAAAAAAATTAAATACATGCAAAATGATGAAAAATATCTAACAGTTGAGCACTTGGAATCTTGGATGACTTGAGTTGAGTGACTCTGTTGGAGATTTGGAGACTCGAAGTGCTGACTGGCTTGAGTGTTGTACATGTTATTAGTAATTAGTGAGAGTGAATCAATGTTTAATTCATATAGTCGTAGCAAAGGAAATTAGGATTTATGAATTATTACTAAGAATTGTGATTTTTTAATCAAATTTTAATATGATGTTGATTATCGACGGTCAACGATTAATAGTCAAAGTCAAAGTCAACCGCCCTAACTGAACGTGGAACCTAGATCCGCCCCTGGTTGAGACTTGAGATGACTCAACTCGTTTAAGAATCGGATTGAAACCAAACCCAACTTAGTCTAGGCTCATTCATAGGGTTGTCTAGTCAAACGTTTTGCAATTGTTTGATTCATATTTGATAAGATGGCATCAAAATTATATAAGTAAAGTTGACTGGTAACTTATATAAAGGTTCCTTTTTTATTTCAAAAGTCTCGAATGAAAGGATGCAATTTACATGAAGAGTTATTGAAATCTATAAATGGCTTTCATGATTTCCATTGTATACACAATTTATTGTTCTTTGTCCCCTAATTTTTGTGCATAATGAACTTTTTCATTTGTATATTTTCTATCTCTGTTAAATTCTATTTAGATCTTTTCATTTTTGAAAGATAAAGTATATGTCTCGGGTGTCAACATCTATAAATCTTTGATGTTCGGATTATCTTCTTGAATGTGTAAGTATTATGCCCTAGGTCCAATCAATTTTGGACATAAATACTTTTGATATATATAATTAATACAATTTAATGGCAGATATATTATTTAATTAATAGACAATTAAATAAATAATAGAGTCCGTAGATTCAAATTTTCGTAATTTGTTAATCACAAGGAGTTGTGATTGTGAGATACAAATTACATCTGATTGAATCTTAAATCATCCGTGGTCGTAAGTAATAACGAGATACGGATATCGTTATTACGGACCATCACGTGTGGCATTTCTTACATGTGAAGTAAGTAGTTGATCTCACAAGCTAAAGTGTGGTAACACTTAAATGAACGCGTGAATGTTTTGTTATAGTACAAAACAT